ACAATTGGCTTTACGTGGATTTCGGTGTTTTCAGAGACAATAGGTGCATACTAAAGTTGGATTTAAACGCACACACAGCACAGCCTTGGCAAATGTAAAAGCATCAGAATGTGAGCAGTTTTCAAGAAGGACACAAAACAGTACAAAAAAAATGAAGGTACTTTTTTTTTTTTTTTGCCTCACCGAACGATCACCTCTACTTCCTGCTTCAGCAGTTCACACGAGGACACCAACGTCTTTACAGACGGCTTTGAATCATTGTCCCTCACTGTCTTCACACGGCTTGCTCCCCTTTAACAGAAAAGATTCATCCAAGTCTCTGACGTTTCTGCTCTGAAAGTAAACCGTTCACATACGAACCGGGGAGAAAAGAAAGCTATAAGAAGAGAGAAAGGCTATGAATATTTATATATACTGTAGAAAAAAGCATATTCTCAGTGATCGCTACAAAGGGCCAAGATCTGGAGTTTCACAGTCTTTCTCGTACAACAGGTGCAGTAACAGTACCGACTCTTTGTCTCTGCTGTGATGACGCCTGCCGCTCGGCACTGTGGGAACACAAAGCAAAGCCCACCCTGTAATATATTCGGAAAATGTACGTGTGAATGTGTTTGTCGTGGGTGTATTCTGTATAAATGACGTTTTTTTTTTTAACTACTCAGTTGACTTGCTTTTTATTTTTCGTTGTTAATCCTGTTCCACGCCTTCAGTCCGATCTCAGGTCAGCCACGTGATCCTTAAAGGCAGCAGGGTGTTGCACAGCATTAGGCAAAAATATCCGTTTAAGACCCCTTCATCATGCTCTCAGCTGGCTTAGACATTTTTGATTTAGGAGCTGTAATATTAGGCGCTCCTGGCGCTGGCAGTAAAATGTGTCTCTGGTATACACGCCATATATTAACATCTTTATCTCTCATCAGATTGTCATGTGCACCTCATCTTCCTCGTATATTCTCAAGCATTAAAATGAGCTATTAGCACTTTGTTGCTTGTTCTCTCTCCACAGATCTGTTTTTGTTAGTGTAATGTTGTCGCTGGCACTTGACAGCTGTTTGAGCACAGAACTTAAAAAGAAAAAGAAAAATCTGATCACTTAAAATTTCTAATTTGCACCTAAAGTAGCAGTTAATGTAGCAATTGAAGCGACAAGGTCAAAATTTCAACCGTAGCCACAGATGCTAACATGAAAAACAAAAACTCGCAAACAGGCTTAAAGAAGCCCTTCGAAGATTTGGCCTATTTGTCAGACTCAGATTTATTTTTATGTTTGAGTCATCTAACCCACATAGATTTTTCCAGCTGGTTGTGATGTTCTTTTTTTACTTCCTTCCAGTGAACACTCGAGTACAGTGACTGATCTAATCAAGCTTAGCTCCTTGTGGCAGTGTATAACGCTGTTCCTTTTTTAGAAATCATATATACAATACTGTGCAAAAGTTTTTGTATCCCTGATTTTTTTAATTAATTTTTTTGTACTTTGCCTCGAGGGATTCAAACTATTTTTAAAAGTGGTCTTGATCAAAAGTTCTTTAAGCTAGCTTTACGTCTTTTAAGTCTTTCTTTTGGCTTTGACTGCTTTTTACCTCATTTTTTATTCAGTCCTTGTACCTGACCATGACAGCAGATTGTGTTTATATTTCTTTTTAATTTTTCAAACTGATTACAGAACAAAAAAATGTATATAAATATATATATATATATATATATATATATATATATATATATATATATA